GTAATGGAAACAGTGGCATTGAACCCTTTGGTACAGGGGGTGACACACACACACACACACCGCACCCCATGGAGGAAGCCAGGGATTCCAGTGGGCTTCACTTCCTGTTGGACTTGATCACTTCAGAAGCCAGAGGGGGGAAAGAAGCCATGTTGCTCCTAGTAGTGATGCCAGGAGCCCCTAGTAGCGTCCTTGCTCCTAGTAGCAATGCCAGGAGCCCCTAGTAGCGATGCTGGTACACCTGTTATACACCTGTCACATGGGCCCGAAGCTGCACAATATGATGGACGCGTCTTGGTGCTTCTCTTCGTCGCCCAAGTTCCCTCGAGAACTCGCGGTCGCCAGCGGCGCGGTCGCGGTGCCGGCTCGACCAGCAGCGGCCTCACCGCGGCGCGAAAGAAATCCGGCTTTGGCAGCTCGAGCTGGTCACGATCAGAGAGAAAGTCCGTCATGACTTTGGCTCTGTGTTGCGATGGCCTCCAACCTAGAAGCAACTGGCCTCCAACCTTACTGATTCAAAATTTGTCTCATCTGTGTTTTTTGGTTCGGACCTTCAAACGTGCGGGACATGTTCTATGATGTTCCAAGAAGTTCGATAGGGATTATTTTGAGGAGCTTGACCCAAAGGACCCTGCATTTGTTTGCCTATCAAAAACTTGGATCACAGTAGACTTATATAATGTTTGACAGGCTGGGGTAGATCAGAAGAGTTGTGCACTCACAAGGAGCCAGGATCAGGATATATAACTGTATCTAGGTGTTGGCTAATAGGTCCTGGTATGAATATATGCTGATAGACTTAACCCCACAGGCGTTTTGGATAATCGTATCTAATGACATGCATGACTACATAAAATATGTGTGTGTGTGTCACTTCTACAGATTTACTGTGCGGGAGAAGACATTGTATCAAATGGTGTTTTTGAGGTTGGTCAGCGGCAGCGGCGATCATTTGCTTGGCAACTGAATTCCCTTTGCTCCTTTCTCCGAAAAGAATCCCTATGCAAAGTGCTGGGATAGACAGGACATTCCACCAGGAAGTGGGCCTGCTGCTAACATTCATCATGTGTTCTATATGCTGGAAGTGTGTCCTTTGGAGTAACCTCGCAAACGATCGATCAGTAGCATTGGCTCCAACCAACCCTTCTAAAAAGATGAATGTCTGCCCTGTGTCCTTTTCTCAGCGCGCCCAAGTGAATGCATAAGTGTTCTGCGCTGCGCATCAGTGTCTGAATCAACGATCGCATTCCAAAACCCAAGTCCATCATGACGCAGGGATTCTCCAGAGAGCTGGACATATGACTTCCCATGCCATGGCATGGACATATGAACTTTCCGTGTATCTTTCTCATAGGGAAACCATATGGCCGTGGATATTTCTATGGTGTGAAAGCTGTGAACATGCCCAGCTCTAGTCTTTATCTTTGTTGCCAGCATACTTGCAGGGTGATGCGTTGGTTCGGCCACAAAATTGGCCCAGATTCTGCTCAACGCATTAGGACAGATGTTCACCGGGTCGTAGCTGGCAAATTCATGTGATGCCAGTCGTAGCGTCCTTGCTCCTGTAGCGATGCCCTGTGCTCCTAGTAGCGTTCTTGTTCCTAGTAGTAAGGCCAGGAGCCCCGTTCGTGGCGTCCTTGCTCCTAGTAGCGGTCTCCTGGTCGAGTAATCCACACCTAACACGTTTGAGCGAGTTTTGCCCAGCCAGGCACGTTTGAGCGAGTTCTTGCTAGACATGGACAACCAGCTTGCGCGACTGAAAGAGGATGGGGTATGATGAGGTCGCATTTGGGAAATGTCTCTTCAAAGCTACAATAGGACATGTATGTGGTACTGGTTTTGGCACTTCAAATAAATATACAAGTCAGAGCTGGCATACTGAAGACGCAGCAGAGATGCAGAGAACCATAGTGGGACATCTCCATGACTGCCCTGACCTGTAGACAGTTGCAAAATCTGTCCTTTCACCATCCTTGCGCTGTGCAATCTTGGTTTGTTCTGTTGAAAAGCGGAGTTTGCTGTTGAAAAGCTAGGTGTACTCTATTTTTTGGCTGGCTCTGGGCTCCCAGATGGCCTTTTCTCAGACCAATTGGGACCAAGCCGGTCGGCATGCTTCCAAGACTTTAAACACAAAAGCATCATACTCAATGTGACTAATAGCAATGGCCTCCAACCTACTAGGGATGGCCTCCACCCTTAGTAGCAATGGCCTCCCTTAGGCACAAAGATTTGGAAGCTAAAGCAGGATGAAAAGAAGCAAAGCCAATGAAGAATCCCCAGTTACTCCTCCATTTGAAAAGCCCGTTTTTCCACCAAAGCATGTTTGTCTTCATTTCGAAGGGCCTGTGCCTTCAGTTCGACGATCAGCCCGATCTCTGCCACTTTCCAGACCCAACATCCACAGGCACCATCTTCCAAACAGGCGCCCATTGGAGAAGATGCAACACCTGCTACTAGTAATTAGTAAGGCCAGGAGCTACTAGTAGCTTCTTGCTCCTAGTAGCGATGCCCTTTGTTACTAGTAGCTTCTTGTTAGTAGTGAGGCCAGGAGCTACAAGTAGCGTCCTTGCTCCTAGTAGAAATGCCCTTTGCTGCTAGTAGCGTCTGTACAATATGACACATTCACATTCGATCTTTTTTTCACACCGTTTGACACCAGGATCCCTTGGAACTCGACGATGAGGAGAGTTTGGACATGACTGGCAAGCGGGTGACGGGTGTGAAGCATGCGAGGGAATCGACAGGACCTGAGGTACACTCGGTGAACTGTGTTTCGCTGAACCAGACAGGTCCTCAGTTCCACCAGGACCGTCGGGCCTTGCGCGTGTTCCACCTCCACAAGATGCAGCTGTCGCCACCTCGGGCGATCGTCTTTCAAGACCGAAGTGGTCGGGGGCGGAGGGGAGGGGAAAGGTCACGTGCGATGGTTTTGGTGAAGGTTCCAAAATCCCTTCAGAGGACGCGCGCGCGCGCGCGAAAAAGCTCCCAGTAGCGTCCTTGTTCCTAGTAAGGCCAGGAACACCTATATAGTAGCATCCTTGCTCCGTTCGTAGCGATGCCAATTGCTCCGTTCGTAGCGTCCTCTATCACAAGCCCTGAAGGGCTTTTCTGAATTGATTTGTTATGGCATTTAGTTATTGTTAAAGTAGTTTCGGACTAGATAGAATTGGGCGTATGGAGAACTTCGAGGTGAACTTCACGACGACCGCTTGAAGAGTGGGCTTTCGTGGTCCTGCAAACACCTACAAAGAACCATGCGGAATTCGTTGTGGCACAGCGTTGGGTTTACTCCTGGCTCATGTGTGGTTTCCGTGCACTACCCAAGAGCAGGATATCCACCAGGAATTGCTGAAAAACACGTGCTTAAAGGGTAGCCGGGTAGCGTTCTGAAGACAGAGAATACTCAAGGATTGTGATTGAAATGTTTCTTAATATCCCGCGTCACCAAAGTTCACCAATACATGGTAGATGCCGTCAGAACTGAAAGATTCTCAAGCCCTGCTCGTTCCCAATTCATGAACATCCTCCGGTCCTCCAGTAGGGCTTTGGGCACGTGTTCTAGATACGACCAGATCTTGGGCTGGGATGGACGTCAACCTTCGATGAACCTTCGATTCATCTGAATTCAGAGACGCCCCGGTGTGGACGTTTTGCTGACCCGTTCGTAGTGTCCTTGCTCCTACAAGCTCTTGAAGAACCACATTGCTGAGTTCCTCAAGGAACACGTGTTCACATCATCACATCCCTCCAAAACGATCAACGAGAACACCTATCCCATCCTAGCGATGGTCAGTGGACAACCGTTTTATATCACCTTGTTTGGGGCTTTGGGAAGCACCACAAAACACGAACCGGTGAGGACAACGGTCTAGGGATTTCCGGCAGAGTCAGCCGAAACTTCTCACCCCTCGAGGCCCCAGGCCAGCAACACCAGGCGCGAGCGGCTTCGAAGAGAAGAATGGGAAAACCTAGCTCCGTTCGTAGCGAGGCCAGGAGCCCCGTTCGTAGCGTCCGATCACTCCGTTCGTAGCGATGCCCTTTGCTCCTGGTAGCGTTCTTGTTCCTAGTAGTAAGGCCAGGAGCCCCTAGTAGCGTCTTCGCCTACACGTTGTCTTTGATTTGGGAAAAGAAGCGCACCGAAAGAAAGGCAAAAGTTCGATGTTGACACAGTTCACAAGACACCTGGAAGACAGACATGTTTTTGTTGAGTGTACAAATGGAGAGGTGTCCTAGATCTGCTGAATATGCCACCGTGGCGTTTGTTTGTGGGTAGACTCTTGGGACGCTGCAGAGATCTTGATCACGATCAAGAGCCATCTACAGGTGATCAAGAGCCGTCAAGGTTCTGTTCAACAACCAGTTGATTGTTGCTTCACCCCAATGAACACAACGATTGAAGGAAAAGAGACCGGAGTAAACTGCATGAAAGGGACTCACTCTGCTCCCAGTGTTTGTATGGGGTCCAGATGGTACAGGAGTGGAGTGATTCGTCAGCTCCGTTGGGCAGAGACAATTGTTCCCAGGGGCCCAGAAGCCAAATCTCACGTTTCTCTCTTCATCTCTCTTCTCTTCCCTCCTCTTTCCAACCACGTGAAAGCCAGGTATGCGCCTCAAGTGCTAAACGTCCAAAGTGAGCTTAGCACACCTGAGCCCTGGCAGGACAGCGGGAGGTGACAGAACCCAAGTCTGGAGATTGCTAGCCTTTCCAGCCGCATCTGTATTGAGTTTCATGGTCAAAGCAGATCTCTGTTCAGCGGCCAATGCTCTCCGGTTCCGGTCAGATCTTTCGACATCTTTCGACCGATGGTCGATGGAAGACAGCCAGAGAGACACAGACGCGTTGGTCGAAGAGAATGGTCTTTCCAGCACCCGCCGGGGCCCTGAATTCAGTAGGCGCCTACTTAATTAAGTAAGGGTGAGGGCAACTAGCCGCTTCTAGCTACTGGACGCAGGATAGCTCACGCACGATCTCATTTGGTTCCACACAAATCTTTGGGAAGCCGGTGGAGCAAAGCACAAGGCCAGGAAAGCTCAGTATTGGTCCTCAGATGCCAGACCCACGTCTCCCCATCGCCAGGAGATCACCAGTTACGGTTTGGAGCTGGGCGAGGTGCGCCCTCCATCGGGAGAAACGCGCCGCACAGCACGCGAGGTGCGCCAGTTTGGAGTGCAACAGTTCTGGACGTCTCAACTTGAATTGGTTTGTTTCAGAGGTTTGTTTCGCACATTCAAACCATGCATCCGGTTGGATGATTTCAAGTCGTTTAACCAGTTCAGATCGTTTCAAGTCGGTCGTGCGTCTTCGCCTCCCAGAGATGCAATAGACGGGATCTAAGCAATATATAATGGATGAGCGGCAGCTTGCAAGTACCCGGCGCCTGCGCCGCCACGGGCGCCTGCTGTCGCTGTGACCCAAAGGTTGTTCTTTGTGTTTCTCCCGGAATCTCTTACCGAGCTCAACACGAGATGTTGAAAAACCCTGAAACCTGACCATGAAAGCGCCTAGTCCATCCAAAGAAAGCACCAATTCAAAGTGCTGGTGGTGACTGGTGTCAGATCAGTATGTGACATAGTAGATTCACGATATCCATGTACAAGATCCCACATATCAAATCATTCGATGTCCACGGTTCAATCACTCGGTTCATGCTGTGTCTCGGTTTCCCGCGCGGCGATCCCTCTGAACGCTCGTTGCCACGGTCTGCGACGGCTCAAGTCGACCCTTGGACGACGATCCGCGCGTCCGACGGACGCGCGATTGAGTGGGACCAGGGCGGAGCGGCCTGCCTAAGGCGCGTTTTGTTAGGCCATGTTAGGCCCATGCTTTGGCCGGGTGGTGAAAACGTATGGCTCAAGAATAGAAAATGTGAGAAGTTCCAGAAGTTATTATTCTTACAGTAAGTGTTTTTTTGTTGATGTGATGAGTAGTTTTAAAGTCTTTGCCTTTGCCATGGCCATATATCAATATCTGAAACTCCGTTGACAACACCGACATGGCCAGGAGTTTTGTTCTCAATGAATGTCGAGTCACGAAATGAGAAAGTGCTCAGGGGCCAGAACCTTTGATGAAGAGAAAGACATCTCTGCAACACAACCATCTTGAATCAGACTTGTTCAAGTTCTCTTCTTGCAGCCCTTTGCATGATGGATGGTGCTTGGATGTTTCCTAAAAAAAATGGGGACTTGGATTGACCGTTTCAAGTGAGCTCTTCGGTCTTCAGGGCCTGCTGGCAAACAGCTTCCAGAATTCTCAGGATTCGAAGAAGAGCAACCATAAACCGCATCGATGGAGCGATGCCATCGTGGCCACCGCCGTTTTTTCCACGTCAATCCACCGATACGCCCGCAGATTCTTCCGATGTGTGCGCTCTCGGAGGGTGCAGGAGAGGACCTGGCTCAAAGACCGGTCTCCTTTTGTTGCATTCGGTTCCACCACATGCGTTCGGGGAGCGGCAAGTCAAGTCAATCCTGTCACGGGAAAGACCAGATCATCTACTTAAAGCCCGCAATGACCAGGGGTGGTGGTTTGGCCTTTGTTGTGTTCGATCTATTTTCTGTCCTTCTCTACTAACTACTTTTTGTATAGGTCCAAGTTATACCGGCTACATGGTACTCCCCGCGACCCCACAGCGCCTGGGTGGACGTGAGGCAGACCGCCGGTGAGTTTGGAGAAGGATGGTGGCGATCAGCATCATCACGATCAGCAAGGAGCTAAAAATCGCCTGGGGATGTGGGTGGTTGATCACGTGAGGTGAAATCTGGACAGCCATTGTTGAAACATCCGCTCTGCGGAGCATCTGTTCGTGGCTTGACATCCGTTGCACGCTCTGCGGAGCTGCCCAGCTGCCAGGGTCAATGATGCAGACCTTGACCTTTGGGTTGTCAACAGTGCTGGTCTGATTTGAGGACGCTACAGGAAACGTTCAATGCCAAGATCAAGTCTGTCAAGTCTGTCATTGATCATGGGATGGCTGTGGCTCAAAACCCACGGTGACACATGAAGAGCAACCAGCTGTTGATGAATATATTTCAACTACGGGATCGTTGGAAATCGCTTTGTTTCAGCCAGAGCAGATCACACAAGACTTACATAGAACGATCATGGGCAGGAGCCCCTAGTAGCGTCCTTGCTCCTAGGCTGATTCCAGGACTGAGGACTCCCCCCAAAAGCTTGAACTACTGTGATTTGAAGAGGGCACTTGATGGCAACCACGATCTTCTTATGGCAACAGCGATATGGTCAGGTTTGGAGAGCTTATGTCCTATACCCCAAATGAACATGCATCAGAAACACTGCGAACACGTTTGGATAACATATTGGAGTAATTACGAGAGCATTCTTTAGACAACTGATGACTCGGGGGGACAGAGCACTTCTATGAGTTGAGAATTTCTATCCACAGTTTCACCAGGTGCCTAAATGTATTGTGAAACTGTTTCACGGTGTTTCGGCCAAGTCGGTCTTCATTTCATCCACCAAAAACAGCTCCCAGGAGCTGATGCTCGCCTGTCGACAGCTGGGCCACGTGGTCTCGGAGGCCTTGGCCGCGCTGGTGGCCGCCACAGTGATGAACACAGGCCACGCTCGACGTCGCGGTGTTCGTCGCCGTATCTTCGGTGTTTGTGGTCAGCTCAGTGGTCGGCTCACTGTGGACGACCATTTCTTCGAAGGGTTGAAATGTGTGGACCGTTCAAATGCGTTTGGCACCATCAGGTTTCATCTCATCCATCACCTCTCGTTACAATAAACACCCCAACGTTCCACCACTCCTTCCACCGACCAATGCCAACCGTGTGCTTCCCAACGGTCCCGACCGTGTCGACGTCTTGTCTTCACCCGGACGTCGCCGGTGGAGGTTCCGGCGGTGGGTTTTTCTCCGAGAAGCCCATCGATGAGAACGTCAGGGATGCCGAGAGGGCGACGGAAGGGTGCAACGGGCGCTGTGGAAAGCGCTGGTTCCAGCCCCGAAGATGGACCAGCGAACTCTCTCTCTGCCTTGGCCCTCCTTGCCGTATCACTTAGCCTGCTGCCTGTAAGCATGTTTGTAGCATCTCGGTTTAGAATTCCCTATAGGCCTTGTACGCATGTTTATTTGAGTTTTGACTGGACAACAATTTCACCACGGGTGGTCAGATCGGGATCCTTCAAGAAAGATCGTGTTTTCTGGGATGTGTACGATAGTCACTGAGTCCTTCAGGTGGAACAGAAAAAGCCCATGGAGTGGGCTTTTGATTCGCCAGTGGCACCTTTGAATGCATGCACACCTGCGGGCCATTCTTTGAGGATGCCAAGACGGTGGTTGAAGAAGCCGCCAAGAAGATCCTCTCCAAGGACAACACTCCGCTGTGTGGATGTCCTACCTCATAGTGGATGTCTTTTTTGATTTGTTTTGATTCGAGGAGAGCAGGAGTTGTGTCTTCCCCATGTGCCATGTAGGGCTACAGATGTCTTGCAGGAGAGACCTGGGATCTCCACCCTACGGCTGCAGGCCAGCTGGAATGGTGTTTTTGGTGGGTTTGACCAAATGCAAAAAAAGGAGCGAGCACTATAGGAATCACTACCAGCAGTCACAAAGGGGTGCCTATTGGAGGATAGGGGTGCCTATGCTCCACTCACTGGATTGGACTAAAAACCACCCCGTCTTGTGACTCATGGTAGGAAATACTCTGCCACCCTACACGGGAGGCAAACCTGCAGATCGTTAGGTGGGGGACTGACCCATCGGCGCGATGCAACGGGAATTGGACTGGCGAGTCTGGCAAGACATGACCGCCCACCCTGGCAGAAACCAGTCACGGGTGAAACATGTTTGTCGCGTTTGACATGGTGAAACTGGGTGAAATTGGGCCAGATGTCGTCCGTCGTAGGATCGACCCCCTTTGGGACCCACAGGGAAGAATCCTCATCGATGGGCATCGCCGCACGTCGTCGACGGCTCTTTCGACGAAAAGCACGACCACCGTCGTGGGGTCTTCGGATTGGACATGGTCCTCCGAACTCAGTCGGGGTGCCATCCACGTGGGGTGGCCTGAGGGCTTGAGGTTAGGGCGCCGGGCTCGAGCTTCTGGCTCCACAGGCCGACTATGAGGTGGCCTTTCAGGACCTGGAGAAGGCTGATCCTGGGAGAGCCCCAGCGCAACGATGTGCAATGGAGAGCCCCAGTGCTGTAACTTTGGTCCGTTTTCCTCCAAAATGTGCATTTGGAGTTAGTAACTCATACTGAGCTCCGGATGTCTTGTTTCTAGACTGCAGGATGTTTTGTTGCCTAGACCACGTTTACCACGTTTACTTCGATCGACTTGTTGCGTTTGTTGCCGCCTGTGACCGGTCAAGTAGAGGGGTGTTGATCACAGGGACGCCTGATGGTTTGGGAGAAAAGTGCAAGATGGAGTGGATGAGACGCATGGAGGAGTGATCCGAGTGATCCGAGTGTCTTCCGAATCGAAGCGGAGCAAAAAGCGGAACGCTCCATCACTGGAGCCCGGTTCAGCACTCCAAACGCGGCCGTGTTTAGCGCCCAAGCGCCCAACACGAGCACCGGACCTGTTTCGCGGCCGACGGACCTTCGGTCCGCCAGGCCAATCAGAAGCACCTGTCCGACGCCAAGGCGTGAATCGATGAAAGCATGGCATCGCCGGAAGAAATGAGTGGCTTTTTGCGGAAGAAATGGGATCGGGGAAGGAATTCATGAATGGTACTCACATGTACTCACAGAATTCTGGATGAATGGTTTTTTGGAATTCTTTGAGGAAGACGTCCTTTTTTTGTGCCAATCTGGGATCTTCATTTGGGGTAGCAGCTTAGCTTCCCCAAGAAAGGTGCTTTGCCCGGGTTCTGTCAACGGGTCTGCCGAAGAGGTCAGCTCTCCACTGATCCGGTGCCGGATTCTATTCGGTCCCGGTCGATCTAGACCGGTACAGCAGAAAGATGCGGATGGTTTTTTGGGGGTTTCAGGAGCTGGTTCCTTTTTCGCGGGTGTTTCCCATCTACCAGCACCGACTGAAAGCAGGTCACCAATTGAAACCTACAACGTCGGGCCCTTCCCAGACCTGTAAAGTCGGGTGCTGACTCAGCTGGTTCTTATTTGACAGAGATCCGTCAGCCTGTCCCTCTTCTGGAGTCGTCCGACGGGATGGTCTTCAGTGACGAAGCGTCCGTGTGGACCGTGTTGCGAAACTGACGCGTGCGACCGCCCTGACCGAAGACATCCCAAGGGGTTCATGAGAGTTTCTTCATCTGCACGTTCCCTTTTGGACATCCTCCAGCTCGATGTGCATGATATTGTCCTCTTTTTTGGACGCCGACTCGTGGGTCCTGAATCCATGATCAGCTGGATTGGGCGCTCGTGCCAAGCAAAAAAACAACATTTCGCATGGCAGGCTGCGGAAGAGAAGACCTTGGCCTGGATCTCCAAGTTCACTGCGAAGTTCGATGAGGACCACCCGCGAGCTTTGAGCATGTGACCCCTAAAGGAGAGTTGAAATTGGGAGATCGGACCAAAGGCCTTCATCTCACTTCGCATCCCTCTCCTCCCAATGTCCTTTCTTCACTTGTGTGAGTTCTCACGTACTGTCGGCGGCCATTCGCTGCTTTTGCGAGGAGCGATAGGAGCGCTTCGCGCGGCGGAAAAGAGGTTCTGAGCATTGCCTTCCTTCGGTTCTTCCGCGCAGGACTTCGATACCTTGACCAGCCTCTACAAGAAGATCTACCACTTCCTGCTTTTGAGGCGCTTTGCCATCCATAGGGGGCAGGAGGTTCATGGTCAGTCCCGTGGGCAATTGGTCATGGATTCGTGTGGAGCAGATCATCAAAGCATGCTTTGGCTATTGCTAGTCATCCTTGCGAATCCCTTCAAACCAAGCATGGAGACCGGCGAGCGCCACGCTGGAGTGCAGGTGTACCAGCCCAACAGGGGAGGCTAAGCCGCCAAAAGACATGGCGGTCGAGCGGGAGGCGAGCCTTGGGCCAAGCGCCGGGCCAAGACGTGTGAAACCTGCGAGAGAAACCTGCGTTATAAAGAGCTATTTGAAGCAAGTGCATCGCTACTTGTAACAAGTGCCTTACTAGTAGTAACAAGAAGCTATTTGAAACAAGTGCATCGAAATGGCGAGAGAAACCTGCGTTATACTCTGGGTCTAAACCTATTGCTGTTGGCCTCGGTCCATCGTGTCCCCAAATTCCTGAAGCTATTGTTCTTCCCCTACACGCCTGTTCTTTGGGTGGCTGGAATGAGCTTGGAGCACAATGCACCGTCTTTTTAAAGGTATTTCGCAAGTTTGTCCTCCAGAAAACACCGTCTTTGTGCCTCGCCTCTCGTTCTCTTCGGCGTCGGCGTCGCCAGGTGGCAGCGGCTCTGGAGTCCGTCTTTCCCCGCGTTGGGCCGCGTTGTCTCAGAGCGCGTCCCGCGTCCCGCGTGGTCCGGGTGGGTTTGCTCGTTGAATGAGACGAGGAGAGTTGAAGCAAAGCCAGGGACGGCGCGTCCCACGGTTTCGGCTTCAGTGAACAGGGGTGACACTTCAGTGGACCATCCGATTCGTCCGTTCAAAAGCGTGGGGGAGGCAGGGGTTTCGAGCCTCCCGGTGCATCAACAACACCCCAGGGAGTTGTGTCTTGCCATTGGATCAAGTCTGTGTGAACGGATCAAGGCTTGCCATGTGAATTAACATGGTTCAACCGTTTGACTCATGCTATAGGCTGCAAGTGTGGTTCTTTGGTCAAGCCCGAGCAGGTCTTTTGAAGATTTTGACTGCTACTTCAGTTCTTGATTCATTGATCACAACTCACAACCGTTTACCATGTGCTTTGCAAATCTCTCATGCTGTGGTCAAAAGAGAATCTGTAGTACACTGTAGGAACACCCAGGCTGAAACTTGAAAGACCTCCTTTTGACCTCCACCAGTGCTATAGATACTCTTATCAAGGGCCTCCATTTCAGATCAAAACCATGGTTTGCCACCGAGACGCGTACCTGGGGCGCACGGAATTGATCCAAATCGAACAATCTTCGGCAGGGCGAGGTGTCCCAAATCGATCGAAGAGTAGGTGACTTCATCCAGCCGGGCTCCATGAAAGTCCGTGTTGTCGGATGGTAGATGCATGCAAATTCTGGGTGAGAAGAAAAAAGAAGCCCTATACATACCTAAGGCGTGTATAGTTAGGTTTGCCACCTCAAAATTTCTTCATGGATATTCAGATTGAGCCACGTGCAGTAGGTAGTGAAACGTTGGACATATATTGCATATGCATATATCATACATCCCTATTAATAGAATCTTCTTTTTGGGGGGCTATTGGGTTGGAAGCCATCGCTAACTGGGTTGGAGGCCGTTGCTATTGGGGTGCCTTGCTATTTGGGGGGACGGAAAACAGGGCGACGCGCGCGATCTCCGAGGCTCCGGTCCTTCGTGGCGCTCACGGGCGCGGAAAAGGCGGCGCAGCTCCAGGAGCGTAGTGGTGAGTAGCTGGCAGTAATAGCTACTAGGAGCAAAGGACGCGACTAGGAGCAAAGGGCATTTCTACTAGGAGCAAAGGACGCTGTCAAGCTAGACGCTGCCAACAACTGATTCTTGAGACAAGAGCCGTTCCAGAAGAGCTCCAAGATTGGTACAATCGCCAGCATAGCCCTTTTGCTAGAGGTACCATCGCAAGTTGGTACAAGGCCCCTTGGAATGTGTTGGATTGGACGACTTCTTACATCAGGAAACACTCCCTTGCTACGTCCCGTATTTGACGTTTGGTTCCAGGAAGATGTCCCCCTGGTGCTCGGGTTTTCATCACGTTCAGCCCCTGGGCCCTTCGACCCCCCGGGGAGACCCAAGACCGAACGTCACGAGCTCCGCCAGACCCATCGGCCAGCGCCCCGGTCGTGAGGAGCTCACGGGCATAGTCCTGGGCATCCGACTCTTCAACATGCACCAGCACAAGGTCCGGTTCCAGTTCTGTGCAAGTCAGCAACCAGGAGCTCTCAGAGACGTGTGGATGATGTAGAGTGGATGGCCCGTGCTGAGGATCCAAGAAGAGTATGTGTGCATTTGTTCTTTGACTTTCAAAAGGTCACTCAAGCGGTTTGGAACACGAAGATGTGTGGGAAGTTTGATGTTGATTTTGAGGATGCAGGGCTTCTTCTTTTTTTTGCATTATCGAACCTGCAAGTACTTGGAGGGCGCGTCGGAGATAGTGAAACACAAGCAAATGTCAAAAAGCAGACCTCATGCGGGTTAAACCTATCAGCGCTTGCGCACCCCACCACCCCACCAGGCTAAGTCATTGAAAACACCGCTCCATGTTTTTTCGTGGATTGACCCCAGCACCCGGAGAAACAGTTGTATTAAACCTTGGGTCTATGATTACTCACCTGTTCTGAGCCCCGCAGGGCTCACAAAAGTTCCAGTTTCAGTGGGCTCAGATCCTGACCATCAAGTCATTGTCCGAGGAGGATACACCCAAACGGCAACGCACGTGTATATATGTGTGTCCTTCCTCCATGCACACACCAAAGATGCGCGCGAGATACCTCATGATACCCCAAAAAACCCAAGCAACCTGAAAAACGGAGACCGCACAGAGAGACAGGATCTTCGTAAGAAAGGACGGATAGGAAGAGGTACTGTAGGTCTTTTGTGACTGGTAGGTCTTTCCGGCAGACCGCACGTCCGATCGGTAGTTCGTTCACGTCGCCGCGATCGGTAGGGGGGAGCTGGCTTGCCTTCGGTGGATGTCAAGCTGGACAGTGATGAGGCAAAGAACGGCGAGAGTCAGTCCTTCAGGTCCTTCAGGTCTGACCGGGTTTTCCGAATAGGACATGACTAGATGGCTAGGGCGATTTCCGCTACTCATCTCATGGGTCCAAGAAGTTCGGCACCTGGAATGTTACTAGTAGTAAGAATGCTCCTAGTAGCGATGCCAGGAGCCCCTAGTAGTGTCCTTGCTCCTAGTAGTAAGGCCAGGAGCCCCTAGTAGCTTCTTGTTTGGAATGTCCAAAGATCCAACAATCTCAAAGACCACAGGCGGAATGGTACTTGTACGGAAAAACGGAGAGGCGCACCCATAGTACCCGCACATGCATGCTCCACATCAATTGATGTTCGTGCTCCTGGAAGCAGCTGGTGCTAACAAATATCTTCCACACCACCCCCCCACAAAGAACAAACAATTCGGACGATCACATATACATCAAATCCAGTATCAAATCCTTTTTGATGTCGCCCAGACCGCGCAAAATGCTCCGGACTCGCCAGTTGCTGGAGATGCTCACCCGAGAGTCCGAGGAGGTCACAGAGATCTGCCAGGCCGTTGACATCATCGGAGCGATTTTCCATGCTGCTTCACCAGTGTGGAAGGGGCTGGGCATGGCTGGGCTTGTCGAACTTGAACATGCACTAAGTGGGCAACCAATTGCTGAGCTGGGTCAGACCCTTGCCGAGCTGAATAGGAGTTGTATTCCCAGCGCTTGCATGGTATGGCATGGCTCAAAAAGGTGCGGTCTCCCCTCCAGGGCCCCCCTAGATTCAACAAGCGGCTGGCTAGCAGCGTGTGCCATCGGCGATAGAATCCCGGACAGTGCCTGCACCTTCGTCCTTCACTTCTCACCAGGACTTCTCAGATCTTCTAGTGGCCCGGAACCCAGAAGTGGAGGGACACCAGCTCGCGCATGCGAAGTCGCGATCTCCGATCCAAATCAAAGCGTTGGGCACGTTCGCAGCTGTTGCGGGGTTGTTTCCTTCTAGAACTTCTGTATGTGTCTTTGCGTTTTTGTTCCATACTTGACATCCTGTAGTGATAGTGTTTGCACTGTGCAAGTCACCATTGGGGCTTTGAACATGGGATGAGTTTTTGGAGAAGTCGCTACCTGGCCCTGGCCCAATGTCGGCACAGCCCAGCACCTTCCGCGATCACATGAAGGATTGCTCAACCGGTCATGATATCACCCAACAAAATGCCACGGGAGTAGCACATCACATCGAAGATAGAACGGCTCAGAAAGAGAAATCGGTGTCATCGGTGTTGGACAAGGGAGTTCCAACCAGAAAATGACCTGCTTATTCACCTGGTCTCTATATCTACTCTGAGTCTAATGACTCTTGATGTGCTTCATCTCCAAACACCCACGAAACCTCTCAGCTCCGTGGTCTCGAGAGCTCCAGGCCTCTTCCAGTGCCATGCGCGCCAAACAGCTGGAAAGCTTAGTCGATGACAAGGAGGCTCCGCTCGTGTCGCTCGTACGGCGAGGACGGAGGAGTCGCGGGAGCTGGAGGACGGACATAGCACCTCCAGACCGATGGGTTGAGTGCCAAGTGCCAAGTGCGCTGGGAACCGTGGGAACCGAGCTAAAATTTGCTGCTTTTTGGTGGTGTGTTCCAAAAGCCAAAGGGATCTCTTTCCGCCTCACGACGTTCCGAACACTTCGTCAGTTTGTGGGATCTGTTGGGAAGACACGAGCTTGGCGCGTCAAGAGGCCGGAGGGGTTCTGCTCGGACAGCAGGGTTCCCAACCTCGGTTCTGCTTGGTCCGCGTCCCTTCCTCGGATGTCCTCGGATGTGTTTGCATCCCCCAAAAGTGGGTGAACTCGGTGCAGGAGGTATCCAAGGTATCCAATGATGGCCTCCAACCTACTATAGCGATGGCCTCTAACCTATCCAAGGTATCCCAATTGGGATGAACAGACGGCATGTTCATGAGAAATCCAACCCCCGCCTCATCTTCCACCCAACGCCCGGTACGCCCCCGCCACGGGGCCCGGTCTGGCTGTGAAGGTCCAACGATCTCAACGGGACCTCCTTTACCACCGACAGTGCGCGACCGCGTGTCGTACGTGTGGAAGCACCGGAATCCAAGGAAGGCCGATTTTTAGGCCTGTACTATCTATAGGAAGGGCTAGCAATGGCCACCAGGTCACAAGAAGTGTCCAACAAAAACTCCAAACTTGCTTCATGCTCTGCAGCGAATGCAAGATTCCTGAACCTGCATCAGCTGTGTCTGACAGCACCGGACCTTCATGTTGCAAAGGTCTACAATGGCGAAGGTTTCATCACTTACATGGAGGGACCGAAAACATCCATCTCCGATGTGAGTTGCATGGGGGAACAGGGGACATCCATCTACAAGTCCGGAAATGAGAAAAGAAGATCGCAAAGGTGCCAAGACATGCCAATTCAGCCAGGGTTGTGCTCTCCACATGCTAGAAGGCCCATGTTGGGACTCTCCAGCTGGTGTTCTGATACAGTCGAATATGTGGGGTGCCGTAAAGGCGGTGCTCAAGTCGAACCGATGGCGGTCTCAGTCTCCCTCTGAGAGGTCCAACCGTGCGTGCTCCCACGTGACGCGAGCGACGCGAGGTACTTGTGCTACCTCTTGAACCTTCAAGAGGCCCCAGTCTTCCAAGACGTGTGCTTTACGCGGGTCCAACTTGAAATAGGAATGGCCGCCTGGATGAAAAGTTGATGTTTGATGTTTGAAAAATGCGCTGCTCAAAAGTTGTGCTGGTAGTTGTGAGGTGTCGAGTTGATGGTAGGCCGAGGTCATGGTTCAAGTACCAATCCTTAGAATTATGCGAAGAGTGGGTTGGATTGTGTTTTATTATATGTGTGTAACATTTCTCAACGGTTGTTTGTTGCTCTGTGGAAGACTGTTTAATATGTCATATGTAAATTCTTCGTTGGAAGAGGGGTGAAGCTGGGAGACCTTTCAGATGTCCGGTGGAGGTCCGGAATCACGGAAATCCATTTGGAGGTTTGGATGTGAGACTGCCCTCTACTTCGAGGTTTGTGCTTCCTTTGTTGATTCATGTGGTGCATTCTCAGTAGATCAGCGAGCGCAGATGCGCCAGCTGTGCCAGGGATCGGAAACAAAAAACGACGATTTGTCCTGTGTCTCCCCCAATCCGGGACCTTTAGCGTCCGATCGCTCCGTTCGTAGTAAGGCCAGGAGCCCCGTTCGTAGCGTTCTTGCTCCGTTCGTCGCGATGCCAGGAGCCAGGTTCGTAGCGTGTCCTTGTTCCTTTGAAGCTCTTTTGCGATCCCTCCAGGACGTGGCATCGAGCTTGGAGAAGCTGCGGAAGGGACAGGCGCAGCTCAAGGAGGACACCGGAGACGCTTCGGTCGCTTTCGGTCGTTCCCAGAGACCGAGGTCGTGAGCGGCCCAATGGCGGCGGGTCGTGAGCTGGGGGGTGAATGGAGAACATCGGTGTCAGTGCATGGTGGGCATGGTGTTTCTGTAAAAGAAAATAGCCCACGGAAAGATTTCGAGGGATCCATAGGGATCCCCCACCCTGACAGTTTCCCGTCAAAGACCATGTGTCTTTTTAGATGGACTTGACTAGACCCAAAATGACCAGTCAGTGCTTTTGGCCAAATCCATTAGCTACCTGGACCGGAACTCACCAGTGGAGTGGACTGAGTCGGTGTGGGTGGACCGTGTCCTCGGGGAAGCTCGTGGAATATCAAATAAATGGTGTTCCAAACGAGTTAAATAGATTTAAAAAAAAGGTCTAAAGGTCTAGAGGAAAAAAAGTGAGTAAGTAATGTGGCAATTCTCAGTCCAGAATCTAGCATGTTGATAGAACGCTTGGGATACTCCACATCAGCGAGCATGACGACACAAGCATGTTGATAGTTTTTCCGACACGATGCGAAGGTTCTGAAGCGACGCATGTTGATGGAGACGAAAGTCACGGCGACGGGGGAGGTGAACGGGTGTAGGTCTCCGTTCGTAGTACGGCCAGGAGACCCGTTCGTAGCGTCCGATCGCTCCGTTCGTAGCGATGCCAAATACGTATATAGAATATTTGCATCCAAGCACCAATCGGGGATGAGTTATTTCCTTGGTATGTATATCTCCTCCATTTGCAGGAACATAGAAGCTTGCCCAATCAAAACCTTGGCAGACTCCATGGGGCGGAAAATCTGTCCCAACGCAAAGGAGCTCTTGGACTTGGAAGCCTTGGTGGGTGGCCGCGTCTCAGTTCCCAAGGAGCAGGTGGGGAGCGTAGCATTGCGAAGCGGCACCTGGTGAATGGTGAAACGACATGAAAGGACCATGAAACAGCGAAGATGGCCGATCTTTGCCAAAGAAGCTACGAACTCCTGGCATTGCAGCAAGAAGGCTAGCAGTGGTGTGTAGTTCACCGTCCCTAAGGCCGTGTGTAAGCCGAGAGTTCGAACCAAAGATAGCCAAAGCGGTCCACGAAAACGTTCTGGCACTAGTTCAGCTGCTTCAACGGTGATGTCACATGGTCAGTGTTTTTTTCTGAGTCAAAAGACATGTCATTCAGCCAAAGGGTTGGGTCAGATGAATTTGAAGACTTTGCCAAGTAAACGAACGAAGTCCAAACCCAAACCCACAACTATCCTCCCCCGCCATCTCCGGGCCAGTTGCTAGTTTGCCAAGTTTGCTTGCTAAAGACAAGTGCTAAGTAGTGCACTCCGATCTTGCTATAAGGACTGGCACAAAGGCACTCTGGAATGCCGTCCTTCACCCAGGCGAACGCCCCATGTCCCGCCTGGTCGCTCGTTCCGAATGACGCGCTGGATCGACGCCAGGTCTATCCGCGTTTCGACGCCCTAGCCCGGTGCTATCGGTCAGCCTGGAAAGAGGCCGGAAAATGTGAAGAGAGGGAAATGACAGAAAGTGACAGAAATACAGGTTGCAGGGGTTGCAAGGCTAAGATACTGAGATACCGGTGCTTCTGGCAATACGTAACATACCACTTGTTCTTGTCATTGTGGTTTCAAAGGTGCTACACGTGCCGTTTTTTCCACTTCCAGGATGGGGTCAGAGCCCGCTGGTAGGGTTAACCTCCGCGTGAAGACTTTTTGGGTCAATACACATGACTATGAGCTCTGACCCCAGGAAGAGGTTCATCTCAAAAAGCTACTAGCAGGATTCGGACGCTCTGCTTGGTGGAGGGCCATGGCAAGTAGGTTGGAGGCCATCGCCTACGAGGAACAAGAAGCTACTAGTAGCAAGGGGTTGCGTGCTAAAAAACAACCCATAAGCATGTTTGGCATTACTACTAGGAGTAGGGGCTCCTGGCATCGCTACTAGGAACAAGAAGCTACTAGGGGCTCCTGGCATCGCTACTAGGAGCAAAGATCCCATAAGCGTGTTTTTCTTCCAGTTTTCAGGTTTCAAGCTTCGCAGCGCGGCAATTGAAGCTTCGGATCACAGGTGCAGACCTTGGAGTCGAGGGCCAAGTTGCACAGTGCCCTGGCGAAGCATCGGAGATCGATCCGAAGGAAGAAGACGGTGGCGAGCTCGCAAGGGATAGAACGCGCGCGTTGCTCGACGCGTTGAAAATCGGGGTGATGAGCATGAGGTTTGCTCCATGTTGCTCCTAAGTCTTCAGATGTGCTACCCTGGTGACCAGTGCCTAGTAGGACTGACCAACAGAGGCGGACGAAATGCTTCCAAGGCCTGAGGCTTTGGAAGGCCCTCAAGCAGATGTTTGCACTGCAGAATGATGGTTGACTGCCTCTGCCTCGTCCTTTCTCCCTTCGGGTGCTCAGACTGCGGACCATGTGGGTCACCCGATGTGGTGCCCGGTCGACCCTGCACCGTTCTGCAGTCGGTCGACCCTGCACCGGACATCCAACACGGAGCCAACACGGACAAAGGCTGCAGGGAATGGAGGCACCCAACTCTTCCAGGCCTTGGAATCGAGGTATGTCACTTCAACCAAACTTCAACCCAAGGATCGTCACTGGTGGAGGGAACCCTCAGACAAATCAAAAATACACATGCGGAAGTACTTGTGTTCCCACCCCAAAAGCAGCTCACGAAACTGATTGCAAGAGAAAGGAATGAGGATATCATGATATATCATGTATGCAAAACAGCAACATAGAAATCTAAATCGACTCTATTCCCGCATGGAATCCATGTCTTTCAGTTCCACTATAGCAGAGGCAGCATGACACCAAATGACAAAACGAATCTCTCTCGCCTAAATTTTAAATGACCAGAGATGCGCCCCCCAAAATGCGCTCAAATCCGCCTCCTTCAGGGCCCCCCGGAACGGTGCGGCCGCGGTGACCGTCCAAGTCTTTGTTCGTCGAGGTGTTCTGCGAGAGCTACGACAACGCTATTGGCCTCAGATCTCCGCCAACGGGAAGGCGAAGCGGCGAGCGGGTGCGGCTGTCTCGGGGGGCGATCCGAATCGAGAGTTCAACGAAGACGATCCAGCGGAATCAAAACGTTGACCTGCTATAGCGACAGATGACGATCCAACGATCCAACGTCATGGCGCTTAACGTCCCGCACCGTGGGGGCGCCGTCAGGTGGCACTGCAGAAGGCGGACCTCCGGGGAAGCTTCTTCGACGAGAACCGCGAGGTGCGAGCCGGGAGAGTTCGGTGGTCCGGCCTCGGTGGTCTTGATGGTTTAAGAGTTTTGGTTGTTTTGAAGAAACAATCAAGAAGAAGATCTATAAGGAACAAGAAGCGACTAGGAACAAGTGCATCGCTACTAGTAACAAGTGCCTTACTAGTAGTAACAATGTTTGCTAGTAGAACAAGTGCCTTACTACTAGTAACAATATTAGATAATTCGAATTATAAGGGGTCGTCTTTTGTCTGACGGAACGATCTTTTGATGTGCGCTTCGGTGTGGAAGAACGACATGCTTATGGGTAACTATTTTGTTCCTCCTAGGCGATGGCCTCCAACCTACTTGCGATGGCCTCCACCGAGCAGAGCGTCCACACAAACCATCAAAGCATCCCATGTGGAAGATTTCGTCGATCTGAGGATCCAGTGGACTTGGATTCCATCCCGGGACCTGATGCAGCTCAGGAGATGGGCCGTGTGATGTGATGGCGGATATGCCGTGTGATGTGGGCAAGAACTCCTGGGTTCAAAACTTGGAACTGGTCTTGTAATAGCGATGGCCCCCAACCTAGCAATGGCCCCCTACCTCCCGACCGCTCGCTAAGTAGAAGGACACCATTCGGATCAAAAAGACCGACTGCAAAGGAAGACGAGAAGTTTCTATGAACGGATTCCATTCATTCGCATCGGAATCTGGAAAATATGGGAGTTGACAAAAAAATAAACACACAAGTGACGATCGGATGTGTGTTCTCTTTTCTTCACCCAATAAAAAGAACGAGAATATATATATATATATATGGGTTCATCATCATCCCGACAGGATCCCACCGTGGCAGTGAGACTCACAGCACTCCCGGCGATGCTTCACCGGGGGATGCTGTCGTGGAGGAGAGTTCCGTTGAGTATCATGTCTCGTCGATGCCTCTGAAGTACCGGTTTTATCATGTCTCGGATGTATCATGTCCAAATTCATGCAGAATCAGATGGTTCAAGCGGGAATTCATGGAAGATCATGTCTGGTTTTCTGGTTTTCGTTGGATGATCATGTCCAGAAGAATCACACAGTATGTGCAATAGAATTGGCTGTTTGAGGTGCATGCTTTTTGCCAGAATGTTTGTTTTTACTCTGTTTTTCTTTGCCATGTTTTCATGTTGCCAGGTGGAAAACTACGAGAGTTTCTTGAATTTGCCGTTGGATTTCCAAGGGTCTGGCTGCCCAATCCAGAGAGGGGCTGACGAGGAGCGAGGGGAAAGAGACCGGTACGCCAACTCTGTCGTTGTGTTTTTTCCCGGACAGGAAGGCCCCCAAAGTGCATGTTCTTGCAAGGGAACCGGAATCTTGCAGATGTCTTTTTGGTTGCGTAAAGTAAGGACTATGGACTATGAACTTCTGGACAACTGTTGCAACACAACTCTCTTCCAGAGACAGGTGGTGCCTGGAATTCCCGCTTGACTACAAAACACTCTATGCTCTATGTACTTGGACAAAATGCTGTAGAGAAAAACATGTGTGTATATATATAACGAAGGTTTCCTTACAAGTAGATCCAGATGCCAGGTTTATGCCAACTGGAGGTTTCTAGTTGCTACTTGTCATCCAGAGGAAAGTATCAGAGAAACTGATCTTTCTTGTTTGGCATGATTCTCAATATGATGTCTGGGGTACTGGATGGGATTTGGAAGATATTCTGTCCATGTGTGGAGGAAATTGGAGAAGTGAATGGTTGATGGCCCTTCTCCAGGTTCGCAAATTGTGGCAGTCTATTTGTTCGGAGGTATCCTACACCTTTTGTCCAAGCCACCTGCACAGCGTAGCACAGTTCGAACCTTCCGGCAAAGGTTTTGTGTGCAGAGCCTGGTCGCGCGGAAGGGTTTGCTCGTGTGGAGCTCAGCGTCCGGACGTGGTCGACGTGGACGACGCGTTCACGCGGTCGTCGCAGTGAAAGCCGCCGATTGGACCGAAGTGAAGCCGCGAGAGACTCGCGATCTGATCGAAGTCTGCGAAGAACTGAGAAGTCTGAGTGACCCGGTTACCATCTATCACCCAAAAGTCATGGGGAACGAGAGTTACCCGAGACGACTCCTGTCTGGACTAAGGTGAGGTGCTGAGGGGATTTGGAGCCGTCTTGCATTTTGCATGTTGCTTGTTTTTGCACGTGCGTTGACATCAGTTCTTGATACCACAGTGCGTTGTCCCACAGCTTCCTTTGTCGTGCGTGTCCACTGTCCACGATTTTCCCATGGAAGACACAAGCATCCGATGCCGGACCGCGCTGCACGTGGAGGACCACACGTGGGGAAAAAACCATCTGTGTGATTCAGGTCGTCTAGTCTTTCATGCTGGTCGTAAAAAAGGTTGACATGCTGATGTTCCGATGTGTCGTATGATCCAAAACGGCTCATCCTGCGTTCTTTTCATCTCCCTCTTCGATCTCCCTCTCCAAGGTGCCTGGCAATCCAGCTCTGGGCGTTGTGAGGCCAGAGAGGGTGGCTTCCCCACTGAACAGGAACAGGTAGAAAAGGGTAAACCTTTGTTTTCTACTAGGAGCAAGAAGCTGCTACTAGGACTAGGAGCAAGGACGCTACAAACGGGGCTCCTAGCCCTACTACTAGTAACAAGAACGCTACTAGTAGCAAACGGGTTAACCTTTGTTTTTCCAGGGAAACTAAAGGCTTTTTTGGTTCAGCAGGGCTTCTGTACGGGAGACGGATCCCAGCTCCTCCCGATAGCAAGGTATGCTTCCCGACGGTTCCCGACTTCGGAGTCGGCTCCGACTTCGGTTTCCGACGGCGCGAAGAAGACTTCGCTGCAGGTATGCTGGAAGATACTGTGTATTCTCTTCAGTCAGCCTCCTAGTCCATCGCGGAAGCTTTGTTTCTTTTTGTTTGTGCAAGAAACGAGAGGATGGAAAACCAGTTACATCAACAGCTTGGGAAGAATCCTGTATCACTTGCAACTTCCATGTCACACAATCAACAGGAATCTCAGGAGGATGCTTTAGCTTTAAGCTGGGAATCCGCCAACCTTCCCAGTGGACTGCAAACAGGGTAAGTTCTTCACTCAGTAATAGAGGAGGCATTTCTAAATAGAACATTCCTTGCGACTATGGCTTGATTCTCTAAGTTCTTTCTGCTAGGTTGGTACTAGGTCCACTGCAGCTCCACAGAGAAGATCCCAGTTGCAAGAACGGATTCCTACCAGGTCCTCCACTGTGTGTTTCTCCTTGTTCAGAGAACGTCGACTTAAAGCACCCGACTCCTCCAGCTTCCTTCCCTCGCCGAGGAGCGCGCCATGGCGGAGTTCTGCACCGAGCCCGACCGCTGCTTCGGCAGCATCCGCGAGGCCTGCTATCGACAACCTGAGCTGATCCACCTCCTGCGCGTGCACGAGGAGCGCCCCACCGACGTGTTCGGTCCGCCGGCGCCAGCGGTGTGCTCCAGGCGGTGAGCGGTGTGCTGCGCCGGCGAAGGGTGCTGGTACAACTGTGGGGGGGGGTTGAGGGGGTAGAAGCGTGTTCGACATGGCTTTCATTCTTGGCATGCGGTCGATAAGGCCCTCCTTGGATGGAAGCGTGAAGTGTCAGATTCCAACTCTTTCTTTTCTGCTTGCATGTGGAGAGGTGCCTGAACTTGTGGGCCGCCATCGGAACGAAAGTCTGTGGTTGACGTCGCTCGCACCATCAGATCCTGATAGAGAACCTGAGTGACAGAAACCCATGGGATCTCAGAAATACCCTGTCAAGACTTTGATGTTCGGCCAATATATATGCCTTTTCACCGAGAACTATTTGCAGTGTGGCACTGCTCCCCACCCATCGTGTCGCTGGCACTGTCAGGACTTCCCTCGCTCCTCTTTGCAAGCGATCTTGGAGATGATGTCTGGTCAGGAGGTGGCCACGCATCAAAAAGAGCAGCGATGCGATCTGTTGGCTGAAGCAGAGCGATGCGATCTGTTGGAACTCAACGGCGACAGATCCACACTGAAAGACGTGTTTGTCCTTCAAGTACAACAAGTTCTTTCTCACTGGCAGGGATGTTTGTTTGTTGTTTGGTTTGCTCACCTGATGTGAGAGAATCACTCAGATTTCGGTCTCCCTTGCGGTATGTGCGGAATGCCACCACCTCTGTCTATGACCTTTTCAGAGAACCGCAGCAAAGCACCCAACAAGCTGCCTGAACTAGAGTGACCTCCAAACAGATCGGAAGATGTTTTGGGGGGCGAACAAACCGCCTGATCTGCAAAGAAAAAGGTCCAAAGAACTGTGTTTTGTTCCAGGCCGTTTCAAGAATCAAGTTGTGGGTTCCAACCGGGTGCAGGAGTCGAATTGAGGATGTTCCTGCCTTTGTCGAGTTGTCGAACGCGGATATTGCAAGTGAAATAATCCATGGGTTCCTGGATGAAAATCAATGGATTCCACAGGCAGTGTCCATTTGTTGGGCCCTTTTTCTCACATGATGGTGTCCTGTCAACAGCGGCGTTTCCTGTGTCCGTCGTGATCCGGCTGCCAGTCGGTGATGTTGGCGGATGTGGCCTGTGAGACCCCCTTGCACTTTCAGGAGCAAGCCGTCTGGAGACGTACCGTAGCGGGCTTTCCAGAGCAAAGCTCCTCCACCTTTTGGACCATCTCACTTGGGGGGAGGCTCAATGTTGGTCTCAGAACCTGGAGCTTTGGTTCTCACCGATGTCCCAGCAAACAAGCTAAAGCAAAAAGACTCCATGGCTTAGTCCGGGTAGGAGTGGGCACCATTTGATTGCCAAACGTCAAAGCAGCCTTTCAGGGTTGCCATTAAAATAAGAACAAATGCCTAGCCACCCCCCCTGCTTGATCCTGGTAGGATAGCCACATCGACAAGAGCTACGAGTGGAACGAGTGGAAACTGCGACAAGATGCCCAGTTCTCAGTCTCCGGTTGGACTGTCCCGGCTGGTTCTCTGGGCTCTCGGCTTTTCTACTCTCGTCCCCAGATCGCTTCCACTCCCAGGCCATGGCGTAGAGAAGCAACCAGTTGTTCCCACCAGGTGATACAGGAGCTATCTAAGCTTATGTTGACAAAGAGGTCGTCCCCACCTGGATGACTTTGCTGGAGAGATGCGAGTGGATGAATTAAGTCGACCTTTTTCTGTTCAACGTTGTCGTCTCCAGTGTTCAACCTGGCCTCCAGATCGATCCCAAGCATTTTTTCTGAGCCAAGTGCAGCGTCGTTTCCCTACTAGCGCGGACAAAATCCAATCAGCTAGCCGAGTGGAGTAGATCAGTCTTCAACCCTACTAGCGATGGCCTCCACCCCACTAGCGACCCTACACTCCACCGTGGATTCTCCGCTGGGCACGTGCTTCTCAAGCGGCGCCTGGCCCCGAGCACAGTGGCCCGCGGCTGGCAGAACCGGTGCGCTTCAAGGGCGGCCCCATGGTGCGGGAGGCGACGGCGCCACGGGGCGAGGAGCAGGCCTTCTTAGCCAAAGAGGTGCGGAAGCGGCTGGGTAGAGGGATTCAGATCCATGGGAATGAAGATGGATGCATTTGATTTCAACTTTGAGACAAATCTTGAAACCACCAGAAATGAGGAGGCAAACGTTTCAACCAGCAGAGGAGGGGCTGATCGCAGTCAGGGATCCTCGCTACAGCTTCCTCAAGTGCTGTCGGAAGTGATCAAATCGCTGGAATGGCTGCAGTTGTTTCTGCCACTTGGTCACACTGCCCGGATGCCAGCGCTGTTGGCGAGTTTGGAAGCGGAAAGTGCGTTTGGTTTCATGCTGGCACATGTTCAGGGGGTCCAGACGATGAACTCGCGGCAACGGTTGGACTCTATTGGACCTCTTAAGTGTCCAAATGGTGAAGAAAAGATAACTTAAAACATCTTTAAACAGACAAACCGACATGAAGCCCGATACACCCATGAAGTTCCTTGTTATTGGTGCTCAGTCAATCCTTGTCGGCGGAGGGTTGTTTTCATTGAACGCCATGGACATGTTAGTTTTTGGCAAAAAAGGTCATCGCTTTGATGTGCTTTAAACGTGGCCCATTGCTGTTCTTTTCCAAGCCATCCAAAGGGCATCGCTGGAGGCCATTGCTAGTAGGTTGGAGGCCATTGCTTCAAGGATCCCACTTATGTCTACATAGACCTGGGTTGTATCTGCCATGACAAGCGAACAAGTTCACTTGCCTCATGGAATCCTGAGTGGTCATTCGGTTGTGGATCTTTTGAAACTCGTATCCAGATTTTAACACTACACGTATTGTAGAGCAGATTGGTCTACAACATGCGGCGATCTATATACATGGGGTCTATGATGGTCTATGGTTTCTGTTGAAATGGCAGCCTGAAGAATATTGCTGACTAGGCGATCCTTGCTCACTGTAGCCACCTTTTGGGCGGGACCACACGCTTACACAGTCCTGTGGATGTTTTCAATATGGGAGGACGAGACGAAACACAAATGTAGCCGGTCGGAACGATCGTCGCAATGTGTCTAACGAACGGATTTCGGGCTCAAAAGAGGTGTGTTGGGCCGACCGGTCGCCATGTCGGATCCAGGAGCCCTCTTAAAGAGGCTCCTGGACATGGGTTGGGAGCGTGGCACGCTAGCCTTCTTTCATGAGATGCCTCGGGAAGAGGTGCTAGAGATGCTGCCAGGCATCGCAGATGGTTGGGGAGAAGATGAACACGGCTGGCTCATGAGAGAGGCGAAGCGGCAGAAGATCAAGATGGATATTGAAGATCACACGTTCCTCCAACATCAGCGCCTGCTTTTCAAAGATCAGTCGTTTATCGACCGCAAGATCGAGGGCACGGCGTTTGGGGAGGCGCAGATGGGACTTTCGCTGGCCAAGGTTCGAAAGACGCTCCCTAGAGTCTCCTGGAAGACCAGAGCGGACGAGATGCTGGGCCACACTCCCAGCGAAGAGCTCAGCCAACAGGTTGAAGAGAAGGAGAGAGACCGTTGGATCCAGAAGTTGGTGACCCTTCTGGAAGTCTCAGGCCTGGTTGAGGCGTTGGAGAGAAAGCCCGCGCGTTACAAGTACTATGCCAGCAGATATGCTATGGGACGGAGGGCTGCCACGCTGCGTCAACATGTCAGGTATGGCATTCAGCTCCAAGAGTACATGGAGGGTGTGTTCGGCGAGAGGTGGCTACGGCACGAAGGCGACTTCATTGCCTATGTGGCCCTCAGGATGGAAGAACCCTGCGGGCGCTCTGTCCCGGGGTCTTTGTTTAAGGCGTTAGCTTTTCTCGAACTGTCAGCTGAGGTACCTGCTGAGCGCCGGATCTCCTCGTCCCTCGCCCTCCATCATTTCTTGATGGAAACTGAGCGTAGCAACGCCTGGTTGCCACGGAAGACAGTGAAGGCGGCTCGCTTCACGGTGTCCATGGTGAAGGCACTCGAGGACTCGGTGATGAACATCAGTCTGCAGAACTTCAAGAGGGTCTACTGTTGGCACAAGCTCCTCAAACTATGGGGCGCGTTGCGTTGCCATGACTCGGAGGGCATCCCGCCGTCGTCGATCAGGTTTGATCCTCAGGTGGGGTTGGAAGGAGAGATTCACCGGAGCAAAACTACGGGGTCGGGAAAGCACATAGAGATCGTTCAGTTCCACATCTCCTGTGACTCGTGGCTGGTGCACAAGGAGTGGATTCAGGTGGGCTTGGAGATCTACACGGTCATGGCTCGGAGGGCCAACCACCTGAATAAGGACTTCCTGATGCCGATCCCGGACGAGACCCTGGCAAACTTCCGCAGGAGGATGATGAAGTACCCGGACGCGATGTCCTTCTCCAGGGCTATGTGGAGTGAGTTGCTGGCACCCATCAAGGACGAGAGGGGAAGGTATCTTCCTTTGCTGAGGCCGGAGTCAAGCTGCTATACTGGTCAGAACACTTGGAGCGGGTGACCATCATCAGCTGGGCAGCAGTCATTGGAGTTGACAAGGAGATCAGGAGGCGGTGGGGGCGCTGGCGTCCATCGGTGGACGAAGACTATGTCACCACCACGCGGAGGCTGGTGCATGACGCCCAGAAGGAGGTGGCTGGCCGGATTCGGAGGCAGCACGGCGCCTTGGATGTGGTGGACGACAGGTCGGTGGTCAACAACTTCACGGTCTGGTTGCAAGACATCCACAAGAAGACGGTGACCCAGGCGAACTTGGAGGGCCAGTGCATTGCGCCCGAACACTGGGGGTCGCCAAAGTTGCTGGTGGAGTTGAAGAGCACCTCGGAGAAGGGCACAAGTGGGGGGTATGTCCCCACATCTCCACCGTCGAACCTTGACGTGGTGGAGGACTCGCCGACTGAGATCTTTGAGGAGGAAGAGCACGCGGATCTGCCGGAGGCGGAGCCCAACTACCCGTTGGGAACATACGTGCTGGCCATCGTCGGTCGAGGGAAGCGAAGGACGCTTCATGTTTCGGGGGGTTGTCATAGGCAGCCGGGGTCCACTTCAAGGAGTTAAAGGCCCGAGTTGGACCCATCCCAGGGTGAGAGGTTGTGTTCCACCTGTTTCTCCACCCGTGAGAAAATCGCGGAGGCCCCTTCGGCCGGAGCAGAAGGTGAAGTGGACACGGATTCCGCCTCGTCCTCAACGGGCATGGGGCATGGAAGGCGATGAGGCCGGAGAGCCGTAGACTGAAAGCTGGCAGAAAAATGCGCCTCGGAGGTGGGGGGCTTTGCGCGACCAGTGTAGGTGGTTCGTCGTCGCGCTCGGAGTAGTGCCGTGCAATCGGGAGGTTGCACTTTGGGAACCGACGTTTGGCTTAGGCCGGAGCGCCCAGACTCCAGGAAGGGGTCATCTCAGGGGAGTTCCAGTTGATCTTCAAGCCAAGCTCTATGACATGGGCATCAACAGCTTGGCAATGCTTTCGGCAGTAGCAGTGGATAGAGACACGAGAGCCTGGCGAAAGCTAGCCTGGGGGTCGATGCGACGGTCAGGCCTACAGATGCAGTGAAGTTTGCGACGTTGTATCTAGCCTGGCAGTCAGCGCAGAAGCGCGTCCTAGTCAGAGATGAGCTGGACGCGGAAGCGGAGGCGCAGAAGGTCCCCAAGGCGGTCCCGGCGATTGAGCTGCAGCTGTATAGGGCAGAGTTCCAGAAGCGCTTCTACAAGCTCAAGGACGCCGAATGTCCGAGCAAGCCCAGCTTTGAGGATTTGTGTGAACAGTTCGACTCAGGTGAACTTAGGGCCATGAGCTTGAGGCATTTCGGGTCCAGGAATGAAGATGATGAGGCGGAGACGGGCAATATTCAGCTGGCCAAGAGCGGGCACCTTAAGATCAAGAAGGCAAAGGTGGAGACGGCTAACCCGACCAACATGGAGGAGTTCCGCTCTAAGATCATGCTGATGATCAATCACTTCGTCTTCGCCCGCTTCAGGCTCCCGAACAAAGATGCGTTGAAGAATGTGAGCCCGTTCACCGGCATCGAGTACTTAAACTACCTCTGTGGTAAGGATGTGGCCATGATGGAGGCGCAGACGGTGGAAGGGGCTAGTTTGCATCGGCCCTCCTTGAAGCTCGTCATGCATTACGAATACCAGATGCGCAAGGAGGCCATGGAGCTGGTGAACAAGGGGATGGATTTCACGAAGGCCCTGATGACCACGACCAAGGATGACATCCGGGAGAGGCACTTCAGCACGCCGCTGGCCGTCTCCAGCGCCTCACAATCGCTGCACGACCCCTATCGTCAGAGGGGGGTCAAGTCGGAGCGACAGCACCCATACGAGCCTCCCTACCACAAAGGAAAGGGGAAGAGCAAGTCGAAAGGGAAGAAAGGAAAAGGCAGATCCCGGAGTGGATCTCTTCAGGGCTCAACTCCGGATGGACGACAGCTGTGCTTCGCGTGGAACAATCCACAGGAGGGATGCAAAGGCGGGCGCGGTCGAGTTCATGCCTGTCGCATATGCATGGATCCTGGGCATCCTACGTTCGAGCATCCTCAAGAGCCCAAACAGGGTAGCGCCTGACTAGGGGCGCAGGCAGAAGGCAAGAAAGACATCGCCGAATTCAATGTGTTGTACCTGTTCGCAGGCTCCCAAAGGGACACGGGTATTCCTGCATCAGGAGGTCACTTTGAAACACCTGGCATGAAATTCAGTCATGATTCATGATATTCAATCCCATTTCCTTCAACAATTTACGATTGTCAACCTTCTTCAGCCTTTTGCCTTCAATCAATCTCATGGGTCCAGGGAATAATCTTTCAAGCCACGTTCTCAAGGGTCACCACATTGCTTGCATACGCTGGGGGATACTTACCACGCCGCTGCAGCACCTGTCAGCCTGAGTGCCTAAAAAAGGATCAAATTGAAATTGTTTACTACATGGAGTGTGTGGTTTCAAGCAGTTCTGGGGCACAAGGAATTCCCCATTTGGGTGATCTCAGCGATATTCCAAAGGTTCCCTTCGCCTGGAAAACTGTTTGGCATGCTATGTTGCCAACTATTGCCTTAACCAATGTCTTCAGGCATAACTGCATGTTCATGTGCTTTTTCATGTCAAGAGTCAGTGACCGGCAATCTGAGTCTGTCGTCAACTGAGATTAAACACCCTGGTTGTGTATGCCTGCAGCATATATTCATCACCTACCCTCTATGCTTGATGTGGATGTGAAACCACGCTACCTTCTGGGAAGGGTCCAAGTACCCTCTCAAAGGATTTACAAACCCGTCTGGACGCTACACATTGCCG